AATAAAATTTTATTTGCGCCCGGTGGTGTTTTCCTTTCTGTGTTTGATTTAAAGTGCCTTTTTGTGTTTAAAATCCTGTTACTTGTAAATAGTCAATAAAATCTTTGTTCTTTGTTTTAAACCCCAATCTGGTGCTCTGACCACAGAGTCTCCCCCACTTTGCCCACTACCAGTGCCTTAAGAAGGGTCCTCCTGGGAGGAGAAAAGCCCAAAATGTGCAGGTGCCAACCCTCCAGGAGAAACCCAAAGTTAGGGGTTTTCATCTCCAAACACCAGGAGTCAGCCAGAGGGGTCTCACTGCCCCTCAAGAAAGGCATAGGGAAGTCAGTGAGTAGTGGCAGCTACTGAAGAGGGACAGAAGCCCACCAAGGAGGTTGGAAGGTGAAGCAGGGCTCACGAGCCACAAACCGGCTACTCAGTGCCCCAGGGCTGAGGGTGGGTACCCGTTTCACCACAGTGGAAAACTGAATTCTGTAACCCTTCAGCAGCAACCATCTATACCTTGTGCCAATAGCCACTGATGGACCTGTGATCCATGTGTTTATCCAGTTGAAGATTAATTTTACTTTTTATTTTTAGATTCTAATCTGAGCATGAGTAAAAGATTTGAAAGTGGTGCTAGCAAGCGCAAGAGACAGAGACTTGAAAATGCTATGGTAATGAAGTTAAGACCAATCACTGCTTTCATGGATCAACCACTCATTGAAGCAACAACAGCCAGCAGTGAAGCTATCCAGCCTGAGCCAACTACTAGCATGCAACCAGACAAAAACCTCTCTGAAAGAGAAACAGCGAAGCAGGATGTGGAACAGGAAGCTGATTATGAGGAAGCAGCCATGATGAAAATATAGAACTAATTCAAGAGTCACTTACTGGACAGGGAGAGGCTAAAGAGCCACAAGAAAATAATGTAAATCGTCAGATTTTGCAGTTCACACCTGGTAAGATAGGCCAAGTCCAAGGTGTTCCAGATGCAGATAAAGATAATGCCAAACATAGATCTACTGTAACAGATGTTGGTTTGTGGTCAGAATTATCACATGAGGAAGTATCCTATTGGGTAGAGAGGGGACGCTCTCCCTCATCGTTGTGGACCATTTTCAAATTCGAAGCGACTGTACAAAAAGCAGTCCAGCAGGCTTTGCACAAAAGCTCTTTTTTTAATTCAACAAAAGCAAATAGGGAAACATATAGCCGAGAGTGGCATGTATATTCTCCCTCAAAAGGCCAGATTTATTGCTTTGTTTGTAAACTCTTTCCAAACCTTACATCTTCTTCCACAGCTTTAGCTACTGAAGGGTTTGATGACTGGCAAAACCCCCATCTTATCCAAACTCATGAAAACTCAGAGAAGCATAAGAATGCCATGTTGGCCTACCTAACAAGGAAGCAAGGGCAAACGTTAACTTCCAAGCTAGAGGAACAAATAAAAGCAGAACAGCAGTACTGGCGAGAATTATTGCTGTAATATGCATTCTTGTAGAAAGAGGCTTACCATTCAGAGGAGACAATGAACACTTCGGATCTCCAAATAATTATCTTGACCTTTTAGAACTAGTGGCAAAATTTGATCCATTTTTACTTGCTCATATCAATCGGTATGGACATTCTGGATCAGGCAATCCCTTCTTATTTGTCAAAAACTATCTGTGAGGAAATGATTCAACTCATGGCAAAAAAAGTTAAGGATGCAATTTTGGCTGATGTGAGAAAGGCTGGATATTTCAGCTTTTCAGTAGATTCCACTCCTGACATTTCACATACTGATCAGTTGACTTTAATTATCAGATATGTATCACCTGAAGATGGTTTGCCAACTGAGAGATTTTTAACTTTCCTTGCGCTAAAAGACCACTTAGGAGAAAGCATGACTGATTTAGTGTTCAACTATTTCACTACTGAGCTTGAAATTGACTCTAGAAAATGCCGCAGGCAGTCTTATGATAATGCTGCCAACATGGCTGGGGAGTACAATGGTATGCAGCAAAAAATAATTAAAAAAATTTGCAAGATTTATTCCATGCGCAGGTCACTCTTTAAATCTGGTGGGCCATTCAGCTGTGGATTGCTGCCTTGATGCAGTGAACTGTTTTGGCATTATCAATGAAATTTATACCTTCTTTTCATCCTCCACAAAGAGATGGGCAGTTAAAATCATTTTTGCCACTTCAGTCTAAAGTGCCTAAATGTTTGTCAGACACTAGGTGGGATGCACACGAGAAAGCCACAGAAGCTGTTTTGGAAAGTTACAGTGCTATCACTGATGCCCTCAGTCATTCATACTCTGACGTTAATGGGAAGGGGGAGACCAGGCTTCAAGCTAACAAGCTTTTGCAGAAATGGAACAACTGGAATTTGTGTTTATGCTGCATTGTTGGACCCGTGTGCTAGGTCATTTTCACAAGGTCAGCAAAGCCCTTCAGAAATCAGACCTGTTATTGAGTTCTTGTGCAAGTTTGTACAGTTCACTTCTGGATTTTTAAAGGAAAATTAGAGAAAATGTTGATGAGCTTGAGAAACAAGCAAAAGCCACCTTGCCAAATGTTAACTGCAAAACAAGGAGACAAAGAGTAAGGGAATGGCAAATAAATGACAGAAGTGCACCTGATGCCTTAGATGCACTTTCTTCAACAGATAAGTTTAGGATAAAATCCTTTATTCCTATGTACTTGAAGCCAGTTTAAGTACTGTGTGCAGTGATGTTGCACACTTGTTTTCCATTCTTGCTAATCAACATCTAAGCAAGAAATTCAGCAATGTGTTGAACTGTTGATGGAAGCATACCCAGAAGATATTGACCTGAAACTTATTGATGAACTTTACACTTTCACCGGTACGTGAGACAAAGCCATAGACTTACAGAAGTGCACTCTCTGTCTCATACAGACCTTTATCAAATTATCAAACTGAGAGCCAGTTTGGTGTAGTGGTTAAGTGCGTGAACTCTAATCTGGGAGAACCGGGTTTGATTCCCCACTCCTTCATTTGCACCTGGCTGGATGACCTTGGGCAAGCCGTAGTTCTGATAAGAGCTGTTCTTGAAAAAGAGCAGTTTCTATCAAGAGCTCTCTCAGTCCCACCTACGTCACAGGGTGTCTGTTGTGGGGAGGGGAAGGGAAAGGAGTTTGTAAGCTGCTCTAAGACTCCTTCGGGTAGTAAACGACGGGGTATAAATCCAATCTTTTATTCTTCTTCTCTTCTGTATACAAAGAAAAAAATTCAGATGGCATTTCCTAATGTGGAAGCAATCTTGTGGCTATTTCTTAGCTTTATGGTCACTAACTGCTTGGGAGAGAGGAGTTTTTCAAGACTCAAAAGAACTAAAAATGAATTAAGGGCCACAATGTCTCAAGAGAGGTTGCTCGCACAAGAAGGAGGCGCGGCCAGAGACACGTATGACTTGCGGCTAAGAGTACCCAAGTAACCCTTATGAACTGAAAGATTTATAACTGACGTGGATGAAAGAGACTTTGTGCACACTGAGAAGAAAATTGATAATTACTAAAATGGACTCACTAACGCCTATATTCATTGACTTAAACGAAGAATTATAAGTTTTATGACTAACCGTATACTAACTGTAAAAGACCTTCCTTTCT